GCCTTCGGTCGGATCCTTGTCATGTATATATGGGACCAAGCAAGACAGTCGGCGTTAACTTTAAGAAAATCAATATGTTTTTTCCTAAGCTCGGGGGTTAACCCCATTCCCAATTATACCTTTTGACTGGTAGGTGCTTGATTAATATAACTTGTTCCAACTCCTCGACCGTTGATCTAGTGGCGTCGGTGTCATCTAGAGCTATGAATGATCTAGGGACGCTGTAATCTTCCCCATCTTCCGCTCCTTATTCTTCCTGTTTATGCGGTTCGGCTGAGACCAGTATTATTGATTGCTATTTAGTCTCTTCTTTTTTTGGTCAGCTCCTTGCTTCCCGATGTTGAGAACGTGGGCACTGAGATTACTTCATCAGCAACAAATATTTCCCTTTCGACTGATTGTTCTCTGTAGACCGTTTTGACTCCCCCCGTCATGGGAAATTTCAGTGCCTGGTGTAAGGTCGAAGGTATTGCCCTCATGTTGTGGACCCATGTCCTTCCGAATAGTGTGTTGTACCTCATATCACCTTCGATCACGTAGAACTTTATTTCTTGGGTTGTCTTGACAGTGTTTACCAGCAAAGTTTTTTCTCCTTTCGTGGTCTCACATGCCATATTGAACCCATCCAATATCTGGACCGCCGGTACAATTTGGTCCTGTAATCCAGTTTCTCTACGACCCTTGACTTGAAGATGTTGGCGGAGCTACCTGGAATAATCAACACACGTTTAACCTAAGATTTATTGATAAGTACAGATATTACCAGTGTATCATTATGAGATTGCACGATGCCCTCGGCATCCTCGTCGCTGAACGAGATAGCTCTCTTTGAAACGTAATCCCGGGTGCATTTTTTCCTCATAATAGACACTTTAGTGCATTTTATCATTGGCCCTTGGGGGACCTCGGATCCACCAATGATCATGTTGATCACGTGCTGAGGCTCGTCTTATTCGACCTGTTTGTTGGTGTCCCTGTTTCTGAAGTGGTTTTTGGCTCGCTCACTTAGAAATTCTCGAAGGTGTCCATTTTTAAACAATCAAGCAACTTCTTCTCTTAACTATCGACAATCATTGGTCCTATGACCGTGAGTGCCAAGATACTTAAACTTTAGATTATGATCTCTCTGGATAGAGTCGGAGTGCAATGGTTGAGGCTACTTGGTCTCTCTGATGCGCCCTATGCTGACACGATGCTTGCAGCATCTATGTTGAAGTTGTATTTTGATAATCTTGGTGCTTCCCTACTCCCGGGAGACCAATAAAAATTGCTCTTGCTCATTAGGTCCCTGCTGCTCATCCCTCGATCACTTCTCTTCTTGTTCCTAGTTAGGTCACACTCGGATACATTTCCCTTACGGTCTGCACTGTATGGATGATATCGATCTCGAACGTGCCTTGACTCCTGATCAATGACTCTCTTAGATCTATCATCAGTTCTAATGGGGTAAATAGATCCAGAATGAGCCCCAAGTTGATCGTCTTCGACCCTAATCTTCAATTGGTACTTTTTGTGGACGTCTGTCCAGGTCACCACTAGGTACTCCACGAAATTTTGTTTTAGCTGTTGAGAGGCCACCTAACTTCGAGGATTGAGCGACTGAGTGAATGCTTGAACGACCCAATCATTTACAATCGGTGGCAGATCTATCCGTTCCATATAGAATCTTGACACGAACTCCCTGAGCATCTCATTATCTCTTTGTTTGAACTTGAAAAGGTCGGATTTTCTGGTCTTGACCTTGATAGCCCCGACATGGGCCTTTATGAAGGCATTTGCAAGCATAGTAAACGAGTCAATAAAATTGGGAGGCAAGTTGTGATACCATATCATTGCCCTGTTGGACAGAGTTGCCCCAAACGTTTTTAGCAACACCTACTCGATTTCGTCATCTTTCAAGTCGTTCCCTTTGATTGCGCATGTATAGGAGGTTACGTGCTCATTTGGATCCGTGGTCCCATATACTTGGTAATGTCGGGCATTTGAAACCTCTTTGAGATCGACTTCGGTGCTGCGCCTGGGGGGAAGGGCTTCTAGATAATTTTTTTGGAATCTGGTCCTTTCAGTATCGGAGGTGCCCCCGGAATCTGATTGAACCTGGAGTTGTATGTTTCCACCTTCTTGTTGTTGGCCTCGATCTTTTTCTCACCTGACTCCACCCATTTTGTTAATGCTTCGAGCATCTTCATTACCTCTGAAGCTTCTCTAGGCTCAGCTTCACCCGGTCTTATGACAACTTGTTCGTTTCTCCGAATATTTTCTCGGGATTATTTAGGCTCGACCCTATTAGGGATGTGGATTTGGTTATATAGTTGTGCTATTGCCACTTGTTGAGCTTGAAAATTTCGAAAATCAATCATAGGCTCACCCCATCACCTTCATCCTTAGGCACTTCTCGGGCCATTGGCCGGGGCCCCGCAAATACTGTATTCGGGGTCAGTTTGCAAATTGATGTTAATGGCCACTTGCGAGTTAGCATCGACTAGGTCGGTGGCTTGGACACCATTGGGATCGGTAGGAAGCACATCATTAATGGGTGCCACTTTGTTATTTTCTCCATGATGGCCTCACTCTGCTTCAACGTTTAAGTGAGTAGACTGAGAGTTTGACATTCTTAGGCTGACCTGGAAGTTAAGATTTCAAAGAACAAGCGCAAAATAGGGTGTGTTATGGAGATTCGTATCAAATCACCACTATTATCCTTAGCCCCATGGCGGGCGCCAAACTGTTTACCCCAAAAATGAGTACCAATTAATTTGTACGCGGTTTAAAGGATACATGGTTTAATTCAATACGAATATTTAAGAATAACATATAGATGAACTAAAGACAAAATAACGATCAAACCAATTGCAATGTAATGACAAAGCCTGATCTTAAATTGAACAGTGGGACTCATCCTTGATTGGGCCCTCGGTACAAGTTCTGTCGTGAGTAAAGAAAAGATCAAACAAGTGATGCCTTGAACAATATCTAGAAGATAGAAGTAAACTTTTTTTGCTTTGAATTGCGTGTTATAATATGTTAGATCAAAGAAAAAGTTTCCCTTTATATAGTAGGATAATTTCAGTTCTAGTACAAGTCTAAAAAAGGTAAAAAATCTTCTTTTCTCGATAATTGTTGATCTATAATTAACACTGAATGGGATTCGCGCCATAATGTATGGTTGAGGGCGAATATTATGGTCCCCTATCATTCATGCGTAACCGTTCACCGCATCTCCCGAGGTCTAGAAGCCATGCTTGGTCCGGGATATGTCGTTTTACCGTGACCGACCTCAGATACATCGTTCATTTTCTTCTAGTCTCAATATGAGGGGTTCGTGATCTCGATTATGATCATGTCGATCCGTGCTTCCTCTTCGTTCTCTTACCGGGGAATCGGGAAAACTTTGCCCCCAATTTTACCCGAATACAAATTTACTTTCAATAAACGTGAAATATTAATCAATCATGCAACAAAGTATCAGAGTTGTATTAATCATATCAATATAACACGATAATAGATTATAATTGTAAGTCAATATTTATTTAATTGGAATTTTGGAAGGGGCAGAAAGTATGTCATTTAAGAAAATCTTCTCATAAATTAAAAACTTCTTTGTAATTGACTTTCTTTTAGAAATTAAATTAAAACATCTAATGGGTGTTGAAAGCTTCGTGTACACCTATTAAACAAATTTTTATGTATTTTGGTATAGTTTTTGTTAGGGCTGTGCATAGATCGGATTTAGAACATTTCGGATTCCATAAAATGTAATCCGAATCCGATCCGAATTATATCAAATTGGATCGGATTATTAAAATTCGGATCGGTTTGGTGATCGGATTTTCGGATCGGATTGTAGTGGTAGTTAAGTCTTAATATATGTTTGCTCTTTTAATCTGTATAAGCTTTGATTTTCTTAAACATCTTTCTAATATTTGCTAACTTCTTATTCCCCCACCATCACCCAAAACGTACCTCGCCTCTTCCCTGCAGACTATGCATATCAGTAGGTTGATTCTTTATATAGTTGTTTGCGGATGGAACTGCATAGGAGGATAATTACCTACAAATTACTACCATTGATTGTACAGTAGTGAAATATTAACATAGGATGAGTGTTTGCTTAATTACTTATAAAATCAACAGTGTTTTTCCCATTGCAAAATCTTCCAGTAGATTTTCCACTAGGATAATCAACACTATTGTAAGGGAAATTAACTTTAATAACTGTACCAAAATGGTTGTTATTTCCAACGTCTACAAGGGAGTCACCAAACATGTACGTTGTTGGCACTGGCTGTGCTACACATAGTTTAAAACATAAGAGAAAGAAAGAAGAAAACAACAAGAAGAAACTCAAAAAGAAGAAGAAGAAGCCATTAATGTTTAAAGCTAATAAATTCAGATTTCAGATCGGATTGGGTTCAAACTATACAAATCCTAATCCAATCCAAAAATCCAAAATTTTAATAAATTAAATCCGAATCCGATCCAAATATCCGAAATCCAAAATCCGAAATTGAGCGGATCGGATCGGATTTCGGATATCCGATCCAAATGCACAGCCCTAGTTTTTGTTGAGGAACCAGAGAAAGAAAATTATAGGAACGACAACGACCTGATACAACTTGTGTAGTTAACTTCTGGTGATGGTGAATACTCGTTGACAAGTTTTTACTATTCTTTTAATAGTATTTTTTGGCTTTATTAAGGGATTACTTTATCGAATCACCTCATTTTTCTTGAAATTTTATAAATAAAAAATGTTATGTTTGTCGATTAAAGAAAAATAAAATAAAAAGAACATTCCCTGCTCACTATGAGTTCTACATCGAAAGTTTCAGTGATTATATAGATGGCCTATACGTAGATCTATTTAAACAGATTTTTATAGTCAGATCCACTTTTGTTGGCTATTTTCCTGCAGTATGGCAAAATAAAAATAAACACTTCTCTTTGATCCTCACATTTAGGCTGATGCACTTTTTGGATGGTTTGAATGATACTTATGACCAAGCTCGAAGACAAATTTTGATGAAAACGACTGAACATACACTCAACCAAGCATATGCTATGATCACACAAGATGAAAGCCAACAATCTTTGGGTGGTAGTGAAATGGCAGAAAATGTGGATTCTATGGCAATGCAAGTTGGAAGAGGTCAAGTTTTTCGAGGAATGAAACAATTGCTACAATGTGAGCATTGCCATAGGAAGGGCCACACCAAGGAGAATTACTTCAAAATCATTGGTTGCCCTAAAGATTTCAAAGGGAAGAAGAATTATCAGACTAGAGAATATATGACTAAAGGACCTTTCACTGAAGCCAATAATGTGGAAGAACCGGCAACTTCCAATTCACGTGGAGTAGCACAACAAAAGGGAGATTACTTCTTTAATAAAGCACAGTACCAGCAGATACTTCACTTGCTCATCAAGGATTCAAATGTTGATAATCAGACACAAGCAAACATGGCAGGTAATATTGTATCTCTTGCCTTAAGTGTCTATAATGACAATTGGATAGTGGGCTCAGGGGCCACACATCACATAACATCTTCACTAGAATTACTACAAGATGTCAAGAATGTAGACAATTGTAAAAGATAAAAGGTGAGATTACAAATGAAGACAGTACTGATGTTACACATATTGGTAGTACACAGATTTCAGTAGATACTAAAATGGAAAATGTGTTGTATGTTCATGACTTTAAGTTTAACTTAATGTCAATTTCAAAGTTAACTAGGGACTTACAATGTGGTGCTTTATTCCTGCCCAAAATATGTGTCTTTCAAGACCTTTACAATGGCAGGGTGAAGGGGATTAGTAAGGAAATTGGTGGCCTTTATCTGATAAGAGGAAGAAGAACAAAACAAATAGTTGCTCATATCAAGTCTGTGGAGAAGAACAAAGATACAAGAGAACTTTGGCACAGGAGATTAGGACATCCTTCATTTGCAGTAATGCAACATGTTTCTTTTTTGCATAATAAAGTAGACAGTACAATACACAATAAATGTTCTGTTTGTCCATTAGCTCAGCAACATAGGTTAAACTTCCCTATTAGCGAGCACCTAATTAATAAGCCTTTTTAGCTTGTTCACATGGATGTATGGGGACCTTATAAGGTAGCTACACATGTTAATAAGCATTACTTTCTTACAATTGTTGATGATTATACTAGAGCAACCTGGATTTTTCTCATGCAGTTGAAAAGTGAAACAATCATATTTCTAATTCATTTCTTTTGCATGGTACATAATCAATTTGGTGTTTGTGTTAAGACAGTTAGGACAGACAATGGTAAAGAATTCTTTAACCATCAATGGAATGTTTTCTTGCAAAATTATGGAGTAATTCACCAAAGTAGTTGTGGGCACACCCCACAAAAAAATAGAGTGGCTGAAAGAAAACATAGACACATCTTAGACACTACAAGAGCACTAAAGTTTCAGGCTGGAATACCAAGTAAGTTTTGGAAGGAATGTATGTAAACAACTATTTATCTTATAAACAGACTTCCTACTAGAGTACTAGGTGGTAAGAGCCTTTTTGAGTTGCTTCATGGAAGACAACCCTCACTAACACATCTGAAAACTTTTGGATGTTCGTGTTATGCTACAAATGTGGTGAAGGAGAACAAATTTGGACCCAGAGCCATCGAAGCTATTCTAATGGGTTATTCTACTACTCAAAAGGGATATAGATTGTTTGACAGAAAGACTAACTCCTTCTTTGTAAGCACGAATGTCATATTTAGGGAATCAACATTTCCTTTTATCATCTCACATCACCAACAATCTATTCCTACTAATCAATTCCCAAGTCACATAGATGATGCCTTTGAAATAATGCAAACGGAAGAGATGATCACCATGGATCCAGACCTCTCAGATTCAACAAGCAAGGAATTCAATCAAACAAGATCAGATGCAGATGCAACTCATGATGCAGATGACAATAGTGGTGATGTAGCAGAACAAACAGATACCACAGATGTATCTGATCTTGATGTAGCTGATCATGCAGATACACCAGGAAATGTAGATTCACAGATGTCAACTGAATTGGCCCCAATTGAACTTCCCATAGCACCTACTGCTCCTACTTTCACTGCTCTTCCTTGACAGTCAACTAGAACAAAGAACCATCCTATTTGGATGCAAGATTATCTAGTTGGTGGAAAGAAGAATTCTCAGTATCCTTATCCAATATCAAACTTCATATCTTATGACAATGTCATACAAAAATATAAGGATTACATCATGGCTTTCTCAACAATCACAGAACCACATAGTTTTAGGGAAGAAGTGAAAGATGACAGATGGATACAAGCCATGAAACAGGAGATTGAGGCTCTAGAGGACAATAAAACCTGGGTGGTGGTGGATCTGCCACCTGGAAAATCCTTTATAGGATCAAAATAGGTCTACAAAAGCAAGTACAAAGATAATGAAGATGTGGAGAGGTTTAAGGCTCAACTTGTTGCCAAAAGATATAATCAACAAGAAGGCCTAGACTACCATTAGACTTTCTTACCAGTTGCAAAAATGGTGACAGTTCGATCAGTCATAGCATTAGCTGCTTCCAAAGACTGGTCCCTCTATCAAATGGATGTCTTCAATGCTTTCCTATAATGAGACCTAGAGGAGGAAGTTTACATGGACTTACCACAAGGTTTTCAAAGACAGGGGGAGAACAAGGTTTGTAGGCTGTTGAAGTCCCAATATGGACTCAAATAAGCATCAAGGCAATGGAATCTTAAGCTTACAGAAGCCTTACTCAATGCAGGCTTCCGTATGAGTGCCTATGATTACTCCTTATTCACTAAAAGGTCTGGAAATGAGATAGTGATTATCCTAGTCTATGTGGATGACCTATTGCTAACAGGAAATAACATAGAGCTCATTAATGAAGCCAAGTCAGTACTGCATCAGAAGTTCAAGGCGAAGGATTTAGGTGAGTTAAGATATTTTTTGGGAATTGAAGTTTTGAGGTCTTAGAAGGAAATTCTTCTTAATCAGAGTAAATATACTCTAGAACTCATTTCAGAGATGGGCTTAAGTGGATCTAAACCTGTTGTTACACCTCTAGAACTCAATCATAAGTTGAATTCACTTGAGTATGATAAGGGGATTGGCAGTCAAGGCCTTTACCTTTTGATAGATGCCACAAGTTACCAGAAATTGATTGGAAAACTTTTGTATCTTACCGTCTCTAGACCAGACATTAGCTATGCCGTACAAGTCTTGAGTCAATTTATGAAAACTCCCAAAAGATCCCATATGGATGCACCTACTTGTGTGGTGAGATATCTAAAACAGGAGCCAGGCATGGGAGTGATCATGAGAAGACAACAAGCTGATGTCTTGGTTGGATTCTGTGACTCTGACTGGGCAACATGCCCAATGAGTAGAAGATCAGTCCGTGGTTACCTTGTTAAGTTTGGAGATTCCTTAATTTCTTGGAGGTCGAAGAAGCAACACACTTGAAAGTACATGGGGGGAGAGAGGGGGGTGAATTGCTTATTTTTAACAACTTTTATCAGTAGTTGACTAGATCAACAACTTTTAACGCTGATTCCTTCCCTTTGATTACTTCAATCAATCCTTTTGGATTCTTCAATCAATCTCTGATTGATTTTTTCCTTTAGTTCTGATTGCTTCTCTTTTTGCACTTCGATCTTGGTTGATTTCCTTGAGTCCCTACACCAAAAGTAATTATATTATTTTTCATCATTAAAACTAAAACCTAACAATCTCCCCCTTTTTGATGATGACAAAAAATAATATATATAAACACTAGTTAACTTTCCTGTATTTTACTCCCCCTCAATGAGTGCAGTTGACTCCCCCTCAAAAGGTGTTGTTGGGACTACTTCTTTAGTCGACTTCTCCTGTAGGATCTATAGTCGACTCCCCCTGCAATGGATGTACCTGCACGAATATATGTATAGCTTTCTCCCCCTTTTTGACATCAGCAAAGAGGGGATAAAAAACAAGAATACACTAGATACTAAAGCGGAATACATAGCATAAGAGGCATGAGAGGCATGTAGAGTTATAGCAAAACAAAGCAAAAAACAATCATCCAATGATTGGTTATCCAGTCCAAAATACGACATCAAAAAAAATTGTTTGAAACTTCCATACTAACGATGCAAGAAATAATTAAGAGTGTTGCAAATCGCCTTCTTCAGTTGTTTAAAGCTGGCATTTGCTGAGATGGTCACTCCATCAAGCCAATCATATACTTCTTTAAATGCCTTGACTGCATTTTCCCTAACTCTAAGAATTACAACTTTTATCTTTGAAACATCAGACCCGGTCTCTTTGGAGATTGCATGTATGTCCCCAATAGTGGACTGAGTAGCAACAAGGAGATCTTTGATGGTGTTCAGCTGGTTGTCAATGACAGTCAGTTTCTCAGCAAGGTCAGGATTACTAAGACTGTGATGGGAAATGAAGGCTTTGGCCTTGGGATCAGGTTGAACATGCCTGACTTCACATTCCTATTTCTTAACCTTGGAGCCCTTCACATACATATACCCCATACTAGAAACACCCTATAATTGTAAGATTTTGAAATAGAAATGAATGGATATTCAGAGATAGAGATATTGTGAGCTTCCAGAATGTGAGTGATGGCCATACCGCTGGTGGGATCATCAACACTTTCAATCATAAAATTTATGACCCAGGAGGACAGTTTGATTTTGAGTTTGATCATAAGGCAGTAGACAAGAAAGATATCTTGTTGAGAGAAGGTGGAGAAAGAGCCAGTATGAGGAAGTAGAATAGTTGCAACAATGTGGGCTAGAACACGAGTTTCAAAGCTAATATCACTTAGACCTAACTGGTTAGGGAGTGATTCAGATGAACACGTAGCAATACAATGTTTTGCTTGATCAGAGGTGATTTCAAAATCATCAGGCCAAGAATTTTTGAAAAGCATGGGAAAACTAGAAACTTACACTGAAAAATTGAGTCAAACATGGCACAATCAAGAACGATGCGCTTTCCTAACACTAAGGATTCCAACTTGTCAGACTTACTAGAGCGAAGATTGGCACAAAACATTCTCACTAAAGGTTCATAGACTTTAGAAGGGGGAACATATAGGAATTTTGACCAACCTTGATAAACAAACAAATTTTTTACCTTACAGTTTAGGGCTTCCATGTCATCAAGGTCGACTACTCTGCCATGAGCGATTGACTTGTCTTTTAGAGCAATGAAAAAGTCCCTGTTCGAAGAATGCCAGAAATTTAGGTCAGATTCTAAAGAACTTGAAAGATCTATTTTGGATTTCTTTGGAGTAAAGGATTTAGGAGGTTCTTCCAAAGGCCTTTTTCCTAAGACTTTTTCTCCTAGAGAATGAGAATGATCTGAGAGTTTTGCCTGAGAGGAGGCAAAACCTTCTGAGTGGTCGGACCCTAGGTCTACTTGTTCAGGAAGCTAAGAAGAAGGTTTTTCTCTAGAACGAGTACTTTTCCTGGTGGAGGCTGAGGGATTTTTAGAGTGTTTAGCCATGGAGTAAACTGTTTGGAGAGAGTTTCGGAGAGAGTTTCTGAGAGGGTTTCTAGGCAATGAGAACGATGGAGATTGAAAGAGGGTTTCAGAGATTAAAAAGGGATTTCTGACAGTTGGGTATAAGAAAGGAAAGGGTGTCTGTTGAACAGGCGTGATGATTGGTTTTTCTCTCTTGAAAGCTGCAACTAATGGGAAAGAAGAGGAAAAGAGAGGGAATTCGGAGGCGCTATTAATGACTATGAAAAGACAAAGTTTAAACATTAGGAATACATGATATAACACAGGTCTTAATATTAATGATCAATGGAAATAATACCAAGTAATTCTCTTAAAAAGCAAAATCTATCTTCAAGTAATGGCTTAGTAAAAATATCTGCTAATTGATCAGTAGTACCAACAAAAGATAATTCTATATTTCCATTAAGAACATGATCTCTAATGCAATGATGCTTGATGTCTATATGCTTAGCCCTAGAGTGATGCACAAAATTTTTTGAGAGGCATATAGCACTAGAGTTATCACATAAAATTAGAATGGGTTTAAAAAATAGTTCATAGTCATCCAATTGATGAGACATCTATAATAGTTTTGCAGAACATTGTCCAATGGCGATATATTCAGTCTCAGTTGTGGATAGTGCAACTAATCCTTTCTTTTTACTGTTCCAAGATATCAGTGCTTTTCTAAGTAATTGACATGTTCTGCTGGTGCTTTTTCTGTCTTCCTTATCACCTGCAAGATCAGCATCTGAAAATCCTTCTAGTTTAAAATTGTTAGAGCATGGATACCATAATCCGTGAGAAATTGTTCTAGTGAGATATCGAATAATTCTCTTTACTGTAGTCAGATGTGATTCTTTAGGAGCTGATTGAAACTTGGCATATTTACAAACACTAAACATAATATCTGATCGACTAGCAGTTAGATAAAGAAGGGAGCCAATCATTCCACGATATTTAGTTTCATCAACAGAATTTCCCTGTTCATCTTTGCCAAGACTCGTTGAAGGACTCATTGGTGTGCCAATGGCTTTAGCACTACTCATACCGAACTTCTGAATCAACTACTTTGTGTATTTTGTTTGATATATAAACGTTCCTTCTTCAGATTTTTGAATTTGAAGTCCAAAAAAGAACGTTAGCTCTCCCATCATACTCATTTCAATCTCACTTTGCATAAGATTTGAAAATTCCTTACAGAAGAGGATTAACACTACCAAAAATAATATCATCAAGGTAAACTTGAGTAATGAGATTGCCTTCGGATGATATTTTAATAAAAAAGGTAGCGTATACTTTACCTCTTTTAAATCCATAATCAAAAAGAAATGAGCTAAGTCTTCCGTGCCATGCTCGTGGAGCTTGTTTGAGTCCATACAATGCTTTGGTCAATTTGTACTCATGATAGGGAAACTTTGAATCTTCACATCTAGGAGGTTGTTCTACATATACTTCCTTATCAATGAAACCATTTAAAAAGACACTTTTGACATCCATCTAAAAGGGCCTAAATCTTTTAAAGGATGCGTATGCAAGAAGAATCCATATTGATTCCAATCGAGCTACTGGGGAAAATGTTTCATCATAGTCAACTCCTTCCTATTGTGAATATCCTTAAGCTACTAATCTGGCTTTGTTTCTCACAACTTTTCCATCCTCATTTTGCTTATTTCTGAAAACCCTTTTTGTTCCAATTACAGGAGCGTTTTCAGGCTTAGGCAATAGTTTCCACACTTAATTTTTGTCAAATTGATCTAGCTCTTCCTGCATTGCTTGTAACCAACTTGAGTCTTTCAAAGCTTCCTCTATTTTCTTTAGTTCAATCTGAGAAATCAGTGCTATGTTTACTTTCTTCTTGAGAGCTCCCCTGGTTTTCATTCCTTCGCTTGGGTCTCCTATGATAAACTTTTGAGGATATTCTAGTTGATTTCTCCATTCATTTGGACGAATTGTACTTGTATGAGTAGTTGACTCCTTCGGTGATTCCGATTGACTATTGCTAATCTCATTAGTCAATTCTATGATACCATCAAGTTTATTAGTCGACTCTTGAGATTTACTTGTCTCCTGAATTTCTTGAATTTGATCTTCATCACCTGCAATAATTCCTTTCTTAGCCGAAATGTTATTTTTATCAAAGTAGCATGCACTGATTCTTCTACACATAGCGTGCATTTATTATAGACTCTAAAAGATATACTATTTAATGAATAACCCAAAAAATACCTTCGTCACTTCTTGGATCGAATTTTCCAAGATTGTCCTTACTATTGTTGTGGATGAAACATTTTCTTCCAAACGGATGAAAGTAGCTTATATTGGGTCATTTACTTTTTCACAATTCGTAGGGAGTTTTCTTCAGGATGGGTCTTATGAGGCATCAGTTGAGAATATTACAAGTTGTACTTACTCTTTCTGCCCAGAAGTGATTTGGCAATGAATATTCTAGTATCATAGTTCTTTCCATATCTGGTAGAGTCCTATTTTTTCGCTCAACAACTCTATTTTGCTGGGGCGACCTTGGAGCAGAGAAATTGTGGGTGTATCCTTGATCATTGCAAAAATCTTCAAATGCTCTGCTTTCAAATTTTCCTCCATGATGTCACGACCCGAATTGCCCACCGTCAGGACCGTATTGGCGCCTAACATTAAACCCACTAGGAAAGCCAACATTATTGATTATTCAACCTTTTTACCTTTATATTTAACAATTTACCAAATTAATGCAAGTATACAACGAAATTAAAAGTGTGGAAGAACAGAATTTAACATTTAAGCTAATACCAATACGAATCCATAATAATAATTCACCCAGAACTGGTGTCATAATCTCACAGACTATCTAAGAATACTACAAATAGGGTCTGAACAAAGAAAATACATGTCTATCTCTGAAATAGAAAAGGACAAAAAGAAACAAGATAGGAAGGGGACGCCAAGGCCTGCGGATGCCTGCAGGACAACCTCGGGTCTCTGATGGACTGAAGGCAGCAACCCCTAGCTAAGGTCTGTATGCTCCAGTACCGGGATCTACACAAAACGGTGCAGAGTGTAGTATCAGTACAACCGACCCCATGTACTAAGTAAGTGTCGAGCCTAACCTCGACGAAGTAGTGACAAGGCTAGGACACAACATACAACATAACCTGCGGTTAAACTGTATCTAACAGAATAACAGTAATAGAAGTAAATCAAAAGTAACGGGGAGCGGTAACATGCTATGGGGGAATACCAACATAAAGAATCACAGTAATAACGAAATAAAACAATTAAGGCACTTGAACCGATAATAACAAGAAATCATAACAAACTGGCAATAAGTGCACAACATCATCCTTCGTGCTTTTACTCTCAATCCTCACCATGCAATCAATAATGAAAATGTGCACGACATCACCCTTCGTGCTTTATCTCTCTTCCTCACCATATAAATGTGAGAAATGTGCACGACATCACCCTTTGTTCTTTATCTCTCTTCCTCACCATATGCATCAATATGAATATAAATGTAGACGGCATCACCCTTCGTGTTTTATCACTCTTTCCTTACCATATGCATAAGTATGAATGCGCACGACATCATCCTTCGTGCTTTATCACTCTTTTCTCACCCAAACAATAGAAACGACAACATCCCAACGAGGGAATCAATAATAAGAATAAATACATCCCGCAAGGGAATCAACAATAAGAATTAAATACGTCTTAGCAAGGGAATCAACTATAACCAAACTTGTAACAATTAACTTCACAAATGAACCTCAACTCGAGCCAATGCTCAACAATAAACAAATACCAAGAAGATAATCATAAGTCTTGCTCAACATGGATAATCAACAATTTAGGCATTTGTAGTACTTATTAAGAATCACAACGATCACAATTTAAGACTCACGGGCATACTTAACACCAACGTATAGATACTTGTCACCACACCTATACGTCGTACACTACACTAACACATAGCAAATAAGGCATAACACCTATTCCCTCAAGCTAAGGTTAGACCAAACACTTACCTCGATTCCACGGCCACAAATCAAGCCTCAACTATCGCTTTCCCTTTTGATTCCGCTTCTAATTCAATTTTATCTAACCAATATTAACTTATTAACATCAATAAATGCTAAAGAACTCATACCCAATGCTTAATTATAGCTTTCCCAACATTTTTCACCAAAACCCAAAAATTGACCTCGGGCCCGCTTGGTCAAAACTCGAGGTTCGGACGAAAACCCGAATACCCCATTCACCCACGAGCCCAAATATGCAACTAGTTTTGGAATCCGACCCCAAATCGAGGTCTAAATCCCTAAATTTGTAAAATGCCCAATTCTCCTAAAATCCCTAATTTCTACCCTTGAAGAACAAGATTTAGGCCTAAAAATCTAATGGGTATTGATGAAAAATGAAGGAAATAGGTTGGAGAACAGATACCTATGATTTAGGGTTGAATTTGCTCTTCAAAATCGCCCTACGCCTGATTCTATGGAAGGAGATATGAAAATATGGCTTATTTCCCGTTCTGGTTCTGTTTTAAGTGTTGGGCGACAGTGTTCATCGTGTTCGCATGAGCACTGTCGCGTTCGTGAAGAGCTGCCATCTGAGGAATTACACGATCGTGGAAAAAGCTACGCGTTCGCAAAGTCTTAGCCCAGCCCTGCCTTCGTGTTCGCGATAAAGGGGTCGCGTTTGCGTAGGTTTCCCTAGGTTCCCTGACTAGCCCATCCTAAAGCTACGCATTCAAGGTTGATCGGTCGCGTTCGCGTAGAGCAGTCCCCCCAATGCTCCACGTTCACGACCTTGGTCTCGCGTTCGCGTAGGGTAAAATCCTCCCTAGCCCAGTTTCCCCATCGCGATCGCGAGAGTGACTGCGCGATCGCGAAGCATAGTACCACAGACACCAGATACAACAACTATACCAGATTTTTCTAAGTAAAAAACACCCCGAAGCCTACCCGAAACTCACTCGAGCCCTCGGGGCTCCAAACCAAACATGCACAGAACTCTAAAAACATCATACGGACTTGCTCGTGCGATCAAATCGCCAAAATAACACCTAGAACTACAAGTTTAGCATCAAAATCAAAGAAAAAATCTTAAGAACTCTTAAGTTCAAATTTTACAACTGCAGGTACGATTCACGTCATATGAATTCCGTTTCTTACCAAATTTTATAGGCATAGATTAAATATCATATTAAACTTGTACCATACTCTGGAACCAAAATACTGGCCTTTTAAATTTCCAAAACTCTTATGTTTTTTCAGTTAAACAATTTCTTTCAAAATTTCATTTCTCGGGCTAGGGACCTCGGAATTCAATTCCGGGCATACTGATAACTAGGGATTTTAACGTATTTTATACTCCTTCTTGCTTATACTTTGATTATAAATTCATACAAAATAGTCCCAAAAATCTCACAAGTTGTGCTTGATTGCAGGTTTGATCAACACAATGACAAAATGTCAAAGATCAGCTCAAAAAGGAGTGAAACTTGCACAAGTCCCAAGACAAGACAAAGCTCAGGTAAAATAGGCCAAGTGCGACCGCATACCATTATGTGCGGTCTGCACTAGGGGATTCAGAGAGGTTGACATTCAGGCACAAAGGCAATGCGGTCGCACTAGGTTTTGTGCGGTCCGCACTGAAGTTAATGCTACTGCACTTGACTTAGTGCGGTCCGCAGACCCAAGAATCAGAGAGATGCCAGTTTTGAAGTTTCAAGCCAATGCGGTCCGCAGTCCATTCTGTGCGGACAGCACTAGAAGCCTCCGCGGCCGCAGTCCGTTCAGTGCGGTCCGCATTGCCTGAGTTCAAAGAGTTGGATTTTGAAGTCAAGAGCCCTAGTGCGGACCCACTCCATTTTGTGCGGTCCGCACTAACCCTGTAGGGGCATTTTTGTCCAGAATTTTTAGCTTAGTATAAACAGATTCTTTTCCCATTTTAGGGCATCAGATAGTTTTGTAAAGCAGCTGTGCTCGTGGGTTCGAGATTCTTAGCTATTTTGGAAAATTTTATCTACTTTTCATCATTGAATCTTGTT